CATCACTCTTCATCGCTCATCCTCATCACACACCCTCAGCTCTCAGACCATCACTCTTCATTGCTCTCCTTGAGTCTCAGGCCCATGTTTCAGAACAGAGCTGGCCACCTTGAAAGGAGCAGTTCTAACAGGAGACAACCCAGGGCTGCAAAAACTAAATATTTCTCTTCTATTTACATCGTCTGAGGTCACCCACAACAGGAAAAAATAATTATGATTAGTGATGTATCAGGCTCTCCATCTGTTTTAATGCTCCTTGCCAATTTAGCAAATTCTGTAAACAAAAACTGTTATACTGAATAATTTATGCAGACAATCTGCCTGCTCCGCTGTGTTGCGAGGCCTGATAAGCTGCTGACATGCGTCTTCAGTTCCACTGCAGCAGGCAGGATCTCAGGAAACCGCCCGCCCACCTCGAACCCTGAGCACCCACCGGCCGAACGTTTCCTCATGTTAAACAAGCTGGCTTTCTCTTTCCTCTGTAGCAATTTAGCACTTGGCGTGTTTTGCTTAATTATGTTTTCCACATAAATTGGCAGATATTTTTGGCTTTTAACTGGTTTCTCTGTAAAACGTGAACCAAGTGTCAATCAGTCAGTGGGCCATTGCAAAGTATTTTATTGTGGTAAAATTAACGCTAAGTGCCTTTGTCTCTGTAAACCGCTCCTCCTGTGTAAAAATAGAAAAATAAACACGAATATAACAGCTCAAGACAGATTCTAGACGAGGGGCGACTCGGTGCTTCTAACCTGTCTGTTAGTACTTGATTGACCCAAGAAACTCACCCAGTGGCTTCTTCAAAGAAATTAACTTCAACAAAATGGCTTGCTGACCAGTTCCACACTCCCACAACTCTTTGTGTAAAGAAGTAACTCTTGTTCTCAGTTTTAAATGTCCTTATATACAGTTTTCACTTGTCCTCGGATTTGTTCAGGGTGAAACCAGACACCTCAGTGAGACCAGTACGAGACCAGGCCAGACACCTCAGTGAGACCAGTACGAGACCACGCCAGACACCTCAGTGAGACCAGTACGAGACCACGCCAGAAACCTCAGTGAGACCAGGGTGAGACCAGTTTAGCATGTCTGCTGTCACGCCACTATCCTCAGCGTGACGACACGCTAACAAAGTCCTGAAAGATAAATGTTGCCGTTGAGACGTTAGACAGACGCACCAATTAAATGAAAATAAATGGCACAGGGAAACGCACACTCAGCTTGGGGAGGACTAATTAAACCAGGGCCGCATGACCTGGCTCTTCAAAGGGGCTGGTTTTTCACAGCTGGAATGGCTGCTGTCATTTGAGAATCGATAAATCGTCAATATCCTCAGAAAGGCTTTCCAGGAGAGGAAAGGAAGTCGTGGCGCGGTCGGGCAGAGAGAGGCGCGTGCTGAGGACTAAGACCGCTCAGCGCCTCGTTGTGAGCCAGCGGGGAGGAACTGATGACCCCCTGGGATCAATAAACAAAACTGCAATTAAACCCCAGTCACAACAAACACAAGACGACACAGAGACCAGAGGAACCATTCAGGACCCCTTACTCATTCCACTGTTGCTCGCCAATTTCACTCATTTCTTAAAAGACACCAGGGTATCGGCTTCAACCACATTGCTGGACAGCTTGTTCCATACTCCTACAACCCTTTGTGTGAAGAAGTGACTCCTCGTCTCGTGGAAATGCACATCCTCACAGATTTCACTTGTGTCCTCTGGTTCAAATTTCTCTGTTCGTTCTGAAGAGATCCACTTTGTCAGTGTCATTGAGCGTTTCAATATTTGAAACAGGTCCCATTTCTATCAACAACAATTTGGATAAAGAAGTGCTTCCTGTTCTGAGTACCACATATCTGAAAGGTACTTCGTGCATGCAGATCACCAAGCACAACCACCTGATGAGCAGAGTGAAGCTGAAGTCAGCCCACACAAACACCTAGAAACCAATTCCTCAAATCAGAACACATTCTAGAAACCTGAAAGACTGATCTGCAGTGTGTCAGTGAGGGACAGGAGAGCTGCAGTGTGTCAGTGAGGGACAGGAGAGCTGCATTGTGTCAGAGAGACGGGAGAGCTGCATTGTGTCAGACAGGGACGGGAGAGCTGCAGTGTGTCAGAGAGGGACGGGAGAGCTGCACTGTGTCACTGAGGGATGGGAGAGCTGCAGTGTGTCAGTGAGGGACAGGAGAGCTGCAGTGTGTCAGAGAGGGACGGGAGAGCTGCAGTGTGTCAGAGAGGGACGGGAGAGCTGCAGTGTGTCAGAGAGGGACGGGAGAGCTGCAGTGTGTCAGAGAGAGACAGGAGAGCTGCAGTGTGTCAGTGAGGGACGGGAGAGCTGCAGTGTGTCAGTGAGGGACAGGAGAGCTGCAGTGTGTCAGAGAGAGAAGGGAGAGCTGCAGTGTGTCA